ATATTAGTCTTAGATATTGGGCCCGTAGCACATTAGGTAAAGAAATTGTAGACCCATTGGGTTGGCCCAATTAGGCATATCATTAAGCCCCCCACTCTCGAGTCGATGTGGGGCCCATGTTGTAATGGGTCTCAAATCGTGTCGAGAGTAAAAATTGTAGAAGTCGATCGTTGGCGCATGGCCTAATGGTATGCGAAAACGCGTTGGAGCGTGTGTCGGAGGGGCGTGAATGCGCGTTGGCGCATAGCGCGACAAGGTCGTCGCGATGTAAGTTAATTGAGTCGTCGGTTTTGTCCCGCGACGATGTAGTAGCGAATTATCTCCTCGTGGGAGTTGTCTCGTCGCGGGGTAATAGTGTTGATCGAGTTATCTCCTCGTGGGAGTTGTCTCGCGATAATGTAGTAGCACGGATCAAGTAATCTCCTCGTGGGAGTTGTCTATGGGGTAATAGAGTTGATCGAGTTATGTCCTCGTGGAAGTTGTCTCACGATAATGTAGTAGCACGGAGCTAGTATTCTCCACGTGGGAGTTGTTATTTTTCGACATTGTCGATGTTTTGACGCGTTGCTTATATGTGTTTACATATAGCCTTGTGCGTGATGTACTTGAGGAGGGGATCAGACTCTCAAGATTTTTTTATGGGGGTCGTGCCCCTTGTTAGACCTCGTGGGTCTTAAGTATGTTTGGACCGTGGCCACGTTTTAATGAGGGACCCGTCGAAAACAAGTAGATAAATTTGAGTAATCAAGCTGGCCAGGCTATATAGATTCTCATAATATTTCTAAGTGTTTCTAGGGTTGTAATCGTGCTAACTTGAGCTTGCGATTACATAGTGAGTTTCCGGCGAGTTGTCTCCTCATGGGAGTTGTCTCGCAGCGAAGTTGTAGAATCATTGGATGACGCACGACTGACGAGTGTGCGGATTGATGTCGCTCTGAGCGATTTCTCTCCTCGTGGGAGTTGTCTCGCATCGAGTCTTATTATCGAGTGAGGTGGTTGCACGTGGGAGTTGCCTTGCAACGGATTTGTAGTGTCGAGCGAGTTGGCTCCTCGTGGGAGTTATTTCGCTGAGGGTTCGTAGTACCGAGCGAGTTGGCTCCTCGTGGGAGTTGTCTCGCTGCGGGTTCGTAGTACCGAGCGAGTTGGCTCCTTGTGGGAGTTGTCTCGCTGCGGGATGTGGGACATAGCGAGTTTGCTCCTCGTGGGAGTTATCTCGTTGTGGTTTCGTAGATCCGAGGGAGTTGGCTCCTCGTGGGAGTTGCCTCTCAACGGGTTATAGTACCGAGCGAGTTGGCTCCTCATGGGAGTTGTCTCGCTGCGGGTTGTAGGACAGGGCGAGTTTGCTCCTCGTGGGAGTTGTCTCGCTGCAATTTGCGGGACGGAGCGAGTGGTCTCCTCGTGGGAGTTATCTCGCTGTGGTTATGAGACCCGAGGGAGTTGGCTCCTCGTGGGAGTTACCTCGCAACGGGTTATAGGACGGAGCGAGTGGTCTCCTCATGGGAGTTATCTCGCTATGGTTTCGTAGAACCGAGGGAGTTGGCTCCTCGTGGGAGTTGTCTCGCAAGCCCCCCACTCTCGAGACGATGTGGGAGCAAACTCGAAAGGGCTACCGGATCGTATTGAGAGTAGATCGGTGCTGTAGTCTTGCGTTAATCGTTGGCATGGCGTGGAGAAATAAAATTTTTTATTTTTATTTTCCATTAGATAGCGAACGCAATTTGGTAGGTGCGTTAAAGAGCTCGCGCAATTTGGTGGAGCGCGTTGAAATTCTCGTGCGATTTGGTGAAGCGAGTCAAAATCTACGCGCAATTTGGTGGATGGCGGTGAAAGTTCCGTGCGATTTAATGGGAGCGCGCAGTCCAAGGGCGCCTTGGAAAGCGCGCGCGCGTGCTTGCGCGCACCCCCATTAAATTTTTTTTTTTTTTTTTTTTTTTTTTTCTGACGCTGACGCAGGCGCGCGTCAGCGCGCGCGTGCGGTGCACGCGCGCCTCTTCTCCCTCTTTTTTTTTTTTTTTTTTTTTTTTTGCCGAAACGCGCGTGCTGTGCACGCGCGCGCGTCACGCGTGTTTGCCACGCGCGCGTGCGGGGCACGCGCCCCTCTTGCCCTTTTTTTTTTTTTTTTTTTTTTTCCGAAGCTGACGCAGGCGCGTGTCGTCCACGCGCGCGTGCGGTGCACGCGCGCCTCTTCTCCCTTTTTTTTTTTTTTTTTTTTTTTTTTTTTTTTTGCGCTTTTGCTGACGCGCGCGTGCACTGCACGCGCGCCTCCTTTCCTCTCTTTTTTTTTTGTTGTTTTTCTTTTTTCTTCTAATTCTTCTTCTTTCTTCTTTCTTTCTTCTTCTAATTCTTCTTCTTTTACTCTCTTTTTTTCTTGTTCTTGTATTTTTTCATCTTCTTTTTTCTTCTTCTTCTTTTTCATCTTCTTCTTTTTTCTTCTTCTTCTTTTTTCTTCTTCTTCTTTTTCATCTTCTTCTTTTTTCTTCTTCTTCTTTTTTTTTCTCTTTTTTCATCTTCTTCTGGGGTCTCGCGTGCGCGATTTTACCCTTTTTTTTTTTTTTTTACGTGGTTGATGTTCACCCCATTGGGGATGTTCTATTTTTTGAGTAGGGAGATTATTCTCGTTCCTTGAGATGGGATGTGCACCCCCTTGGGGATGTTCTATTTTTTGAGTAGGGAGATTATCCTCGTTCCTTGAGATGGGATGTGCACCCCCTTGGGGATGTTCTATTTTTTGAGTAGGGAGATATCCTCGTTCCTTGAGATGGATGTGCACCCCCTTGGGGATGTTCTATTTTTTGAGTAGGGAGATTATCCTCGTTCCTTGAGATGAGATGTGCACCCCCTTGGGGATGTTCTATTTTTTGAGTAGGGAGATTATTCTCGTTCCTTGAGATGGGATGTGCACCCCCTTGGGGATGTTCTATTTTTTGAGTAGGGAGATTATTCTCGTTCCTTGAGATGGGATGTGCACCCCTCTTGGGGATGTTCTATTTTTTAAGTAGGGAGATTATCCTC